CGAGCTCGGCGTGCGGCTCGAGCAAGTTGAGGCTGACAGAGCCCCCGTGGAGCGGGCGCCTATCAAGATGCTGCAGCAGCAGATCGCGCAGGCGGCAGCCCCCCAAGCAGAATGAGGTGCTCGAGGAACACGAATTGCGTCGGGCCATCGGCCAGCTCAACCGCTGCCAGCAACCTGTGGAAACGACGATGTCGCAGCTCGTCGAGACTGAGGGGAAGCTCAACGAGGCCAAGACTACGACGGAGAGGGCGCCAGATGACGCGGCTGACACCATGGAGTAGCATCAGCAGGTCTTGCAGGAGTACCAGGCGGAGACAGCGGACGGCCCATCTTAGAACAACTATGGGAGGATCCCATGGGGTGGGCGACTTGTCCAATGACAGTAGGGAGATGTAGGAATTGGAAGCTGGTCCGCGCCGCAGCTAAGCTGTTCCAGAAGCTCTGTAAGATCAAGGTGCAGGCCAACAACTCTCAAGCAGTCGGAGGCCAGAAAGAAGAGGAAAGTGGGGGAGCAGGGTGCGGCGTCGGCAGTAGCGGAGGACGGCGACCAAACACCACCTGCTAACGAACCCAAAGAGCAGACGGTTGTCAGGCAACCGAGAGAGCAGATCGCCAAGCGGAAGGATCAGATCACGAAGCTTAAGCCACAGGCTGGGGCTAAGCTACGCGGCTCGGGAGGAGGGGGTACACACGAAGCAGCAGCACCTGCAGCCAGACAAGGTCCGTCGTCAGGGTCCGCTGAAGGTGCCCCTGCTTCTGCTGATAGTAGGGGGCCTCTTTAACCTGTTCCTCTCAACAATGCCCTGTTGGGCCCCAAGGCCCACGCGTACCTCAACGAGGATGGCAATAATATAGACGTTATCATGATGGACGAGAAGGTGGAGAGAGTGAGAGAGAAGCTTGGACTTGACGGCCGGAACCTGCTGGCTACGCCGACGGAACAACCAAGAGATCGGACAGATGTACGTCGGGTGGCGAACTCACTGCTGCAACATCAAACTTGGCTGCGGCAGTGGACGACTCGATTCGGAAATGACAGTGCGATGAAGGAAAGGAAGACCTGTTCTTCAGTTTCACAGCTCTCACCGTACATATGAGGTCTGGCAACATCGTTCGTGTTCCCCAAACAGCGCTTGCACTTAGGGGATATAACCTCTGGTCTACAAACCACGGCTTGTCTGGCGGTCTGGCAACTATGTCGTCGCCGTCGCCACCCCGTCGCCGCCGCCCGTCGTCTGGGCCTGCCAAGCGGTCTAGCAACTATGTCGTCGCCGCCGCCGCCCCGTCGCCGCCGCCCGTCGTCTGGGCCTGCCAAGCGGTCCGGCGGCTATGTTGTTGCTGTCGCCGCCCCGTCGCCGCCTCATCGCCGCCCGTCGTCTGGGCCTGGCGGCTATGTTGTCGCCGTCGCCGCCCCGTCGCCGTCTCGCGTAGATTGTACTGCATAGATTGCACCGCATAGGTTCAACGTCTGGGAGCAACAGGAGCCTCACCTCAAGGAGTCGTACGACTAGATTGCCCACCTGGAGGAGGAGGCACTCGAAGAGAAGGCGAAGCCCTACGACGTCACGGAAGAGCTCTGGTGTAACGTTCCAGACGCTGGGTTTGAGTCTTTTCCAGTGGCCTTCAATGGAAATAGTAGACATCGGGACCAGATGTTGGTGCGGAGCGAATGATGGGATTGTTGAGGCTGACCTGTATGGCAGCTGGGCCACCAAAGTGCAGAACTCGATCCTTAGCACGAAAGATATTGACGATGTCGAAGCTAAGCGGTACTACTGCAAAGGAAATGGGTTCGAAATGCGCAGGGCTCGAGCCGAATCTACACAAGGGCGATCGCATATGAGATACGGACCAGCAGAACAGTGGAGCAGCTTGGCAGCAGAAATGGTAATATTCCAAGCATCGGTGAGGAATGGGGCAGACGATTACTAGCAAAACGAACGTATCAGACGCGGTAAGGCCAGCATCCAGGAGATCAGCAAGCATCGGACTGCATCGGCATAGCGGACCCCACGGACGTCGTGAAGAGAAAGGCCAGCAAGTGGAACCGAATATTGCAAGATACTGTGGATGGTAGAGAGCGCCTGGTTCTGGGACTGGAAGGAACCAGGTCGAGGGCCAAAGAGGGAGGACTTGAAACCGCTCACCATGGATATGCTGCAGGAGGCCATCAGCATCACGAGCGCTTCGAAGGCCAAGGAGCTGGACCTCTCATGGGTCAAAGACTTGGGCAAGATGCCGACGGTTGCGAAGGAGGAGTTGCTCATGATCCTGCAGAGGCGCGAGGAGGAAATGATGTGGCCTCGGCAATGCGGGGCTACGAAAAATACAATGGTGCCAAAACCTTCGGGAGGAGACAGAGTCCGGGAAATACGACCGCCATCAGTGGAGCTGTGGAGCCGATCGAGAGGAAGATGCTGTGCAAAGTGGAGCGGCAAACTGGAGGCGCACTCTCGAGCAAACCTGCTGCGCGCTTGCGTGGACCAGGCCGGCATCGAGTTGGGGGTGTCGGTCATGACTTCGTTAATCGACATCGCGACATGATACGACAATGTGTCCTTGGTCATGTTGGTGCAGATCGCGGGACGGGTCCGCTTCCCACCGGTGGTCGTTGGCGTAGACGCGATGAACTTTCTAGCGCCGTGATATCTTCCGGAGAGGTCCATTGTCAGAGAAGCAGTGTGGCCTACGAGGTCGCTAGTGGCTGGCTCAGCGCGAAGAGTGGCGTTCCTCGTGAGTACGGGATGCTTCCAACCGCTGCGTGATGAGTTCGAGGCAGACCTCAGACGTGATCTGTGGACGATAGCGGCGAGACATCCACATGGTGAAGGGCTATTATAAGAGGGTGGTGATCTGTGGCCGATCGTGGCTGTGGCTGATGAAAGGAAACTCGAGCGTCAGGGGCTGCTTTATATGCAAGGTCTCATTGTTACTGTGGTCGCTGACAGTCAGTAGCCGAACGAACAGATTGATGCAGTGAGTCTGGCTATTTGCTTCAGTCGGGCAACTGTGTCCTCTTATGGCGCGGGGGAAGAAGCTTGAAAGCACAGGATTTGGACGCACCCTGCCAATCAGGGGCCAGTCATTCATCGCAACCGCGCAGGCACAGGCAGATGCGGAGCCAGCGCTGTAGCCGCGAGGCCTCCCACCCACTCGCCTGACTCACTCCTTCTTCGACGAGGAGGCGTTCGAAGGTCGGGATCTACGGCGTGGACGGAGGATTTCGAACGCAGCCGCATCGACGGGACTCTTTTAGTGTGTGGTGACGGCTCGGGAGGCAGACTTTCAGAGAATGACAGACCAGATTCATTCGGAGCCTCGATGTGCGCCTTGTATGTGGAACACAACTAGTGGGTCCTGCCTATTGCCGTAGCTATACCCTTGAAAGGAGCCCGTCAGACCATCCCTCGATCGGAGATTCTAGCTTTCGGGATGGCGTTTTGACATTTCCCAGCCCGATGCCACGGGGGCTAAGGAACATCTCCGGACCAGAGCCCGCGAGGCATGGACTCGCAGGCCAAACACCGCCGATGTTGAGGTACAGTGGACACTCTCTCACACGGAAGACTCCTCAAATCTCCTCGTCGAAGAGCGCGCGGTGTGGCCTGCAGCAGGCAGTTCCGTCGAGGATCCCTTTGGCGAGGGAGAGGGCAGAGCTGGTTTGGGAGTTCGGGTTGGTGAGACGGGTGCCTCACACTGACAAAACAAGACGTGACAGCGCACACGGTTCGACAACATGCTAGGCGCGCGTTGGCTGACTCAGCGCAGGCGGAATAATATCATAGGAGTGATCGGCAGCCGGCCAAACATCTACGATATCTAAGAAGGAGGAGCTGGCAGTTGCCACGTCGGCCCACTGGCTCGGCAAGGTAGGCAGCGGATGGACGCGTGTGAGCTGCCATCAGGTGGTGCCAGGCTCCAAATTCATGCGGTTTGCTGCCATGTTCTGCGCTGGCCATCCGTCGGAGAGGAAAGATGGCCAGCGCGAGGTGGCTTCTGTTGCGGCCCCCCAGGAGAGGGCATAGTCCATGCTAATCGTATCAGCCCGTATGCCGACAAGTTGTTCGTGTCGGATCATTCCAGTTGCGGCATGTATGCCTCGGCAGTCACCAGAAACCTGGTCAAGAGCCGTGCGGGAATCGCCCCGAATGGGGTGGAGAATCTCAGGATTATTTACAGGGGTGTGTACCCGAGGAAAGTCCACCCAAGTGCCATTCTGGAGGCGATGGCGGCGCGAGGTTACTTGATCGGCGCACGATCGGACAGCGCTCGTGACAGGCGCCCGCGCTAAACCGGGGGAAGCGCCCTCCTCCTCCCCCATGTTCCCTCCACCTCCGCCCAGCTGTATCAGACTCCTGAGAAGGCGTAGGGAGGGGAGCCAGACCAGCAGCAGCGAGAGCAACTTCGACGGGTTGCGGAGGCCCTCCGAAGGGAACACCGGCTCCGGGGGAGTGGTTGTTGTTGTTGATATTGTCATTCATTCATTCATTCACATCATTCGCCCCGAGGTTCAAGCATCACAAGCTAGTGCACGAAGCGTGGCTCGCAATCCTCCTTCGAAGCGGAGTGATGTCCCAGCTTTATGGCGGGCCTAAAAACCCCCACCCTATGTGGTGGTCTCGCAGCCGACGGGATCGACCGAGCCCCAGCCTGAGACCCACGACCTCTGACGTGTGGTGAGGTCGAGGGGATCGCACCGAAAAAGCGGGACGATCATATTAGCGAACGATGCCAAACTCTAGCTTGTTGCAAAACGTGCTTGCTCGAGACTAAACTATCAAAAACTGCGACTACCTGGGAAAACCTTTTTCGTGGCTAGGAACATCGTACACACTCGGAGATCTGAGACGTGGGACGGACTGGGCATGTTCCTAGTCTCACCTGAGGTCTCACTCAGCGTTTTGCTATCACTGTCGTCTTTTTTTTAATACTCCCGCCATGAGCTGTCCCCCCACTTCTCGTGTCCTCGATAATTACATCAATAGTTGCTCCACCCATTCCTGAAGCTCCCTCTCCATGTGCGTCGCTGGGGCTCTGCCGTACTTCCTCTTGGCCGAGGTCGTCTTCAGCGCCTGCATCAGGTATCCCCGAGACAGTGGCTCGCGGACCGCGAGTGTGAACCCCTTCTTCTCCTTCTCGTACATGCGGTCGACTTTGCAGAAGAGCGCCAGCTCGGACTTCTGCTCGTTGTCGTAGTTGTCGTAGTCCGTGAACATTTTCGTGAGCTGGGTCTTCAGCGGGTCCTCTAGCTGGAGCTCCTTCACCGCTGCCAGTAGGCCTCCCATCGCGTAGATATGTGGGGGGGGGGGCCGAGGTCGTGAGTTTTTCCCTTCTCTTTGGTGGCCTTGCCGTAGGCGGCTGTCTGCTCCTGAATGCGAAGGATGAGCGGGATGTCGCTTTTGAGGACCCATGTGTCCAAGATAGCGCTGCTCATGTCGCGGTTCTGCTGGGCACAACGGAGAAGTTGTTTCACGATGAGCGTCATCAGCTTCTTGGTGTGGGTGGGGAGCTGCTGTTTCGCCGCCTCGTACGTATTCTTCTTGTTTTCCTCGTCGTCCCCGTCCTTTCTCTGGCGCTGGCTGCGCTCGAAGGGCATCTCTGCGTCTCCGTTGCCGATCTGCAATAGCGCCGGCATGATCGAGACGCGGGCTCAGCCTCGGAAGGTGCTCGGTTCTGCCGCGCTCGTAGAGTGAGGCCAAATCTGAAAAGGCTGCGGAACAGAGGGCACACGTGGGGTCCTTCACGCTTGTCAGGGGCCATTTCATAGTATTCCGTCCCATGCGACATCGACCCTGGGCGCAGGCGAAGATAAGGTGATTTTGGGTACAAGCTCGGCTTTTCAGGACCGCGAAGAAATTAGGGCACTGGTTCGTAGACACACTGCTCGGGATAGTAAATCGAAATTTATGTCCAGAGGCTTGATGAGTAGTTCGTTGTCGGTAACTCGGGAATATAATTTCGCAATCTCGTCCAGTTTCGTGACTCAGTAGTTCGCACTTAAGAGCCTTCGGGTTCATGTCTATCATGTCCGTGGGGGTGTCGTAGAAACGAAGCCATATGGGGCTCCCTGGGGCATGTGCTGCTGCTCGCAGGATGCCTGGATCTAGTCTAAGAAAAGCTTGCTCGGACTCGGAGTTCGGGGTGAGGAGGGCCTTCGAGGACTCGTTCGTGTCCCTCCATATCTCCCAGAAGCTTTCCGCGCCGCTGATGTCCCTGGAAAGGTCGAGGTCCCTGGAGAACTGATGGGCCCATGGTATCGCAGTAGCTCTGGTGCGGCCGATTTCGTCCAGGGTAGACGGTTCATTCGGGATGTGTCCAACAATGGCGGCCAGGGTTTGACCATGTGCTTGCTTATGTCGGCACATGCTCTGAAGCCATTTGATTCGTCTGACCGCTAGCTCTGCTCTCACTGGAAGGATCTTCCAATGCCTGAGAACCTCGACGTTGCTCATCGCAGTCGTGTGCGAGTCCACGTGGATCGTCTTGGCACGACCCTGAAGTATTTCACGGTTTGGGAGTCCAGATTCTTCTCCTCGGTTTTCTTCACGACGAAGGCCTCCAGGCCCGAGAGCCCAGGCTCGATCACCTTCCCTCGGAAGATTTCACGCTTGAGCTTCCAGGGCCCTCTCTCATTCCAGAACTTTCCCAGCTGGCACCACCCCGCGGTCATCAACTGCGCGCGGTTCGAGATCTCCAACTTGTTACTGTCTGTCATTGTGTAGCGAGCCCCGAGGTGGCGAGCGTCCGATACGACACTTCCCTGGGAAGGCGGGCAGACTTCCTGGAGCTTCCGGTTCTCGACATGTGACCCGAGGCAAGGAACGATGTCTTTTTTTCGATATGTTCTGCGCAAAGTGCCAATTGTGGAGTACATAGTCCAAAAGCTTGTCGCCCGAGCTGACCATCTCCATGGCCTCCTCTGCTGTGCCTGACGGGCACAGTCGTTTCTTCAGTAGGTCGTCGGCGAAGCCCGCCAGGGATACATCCTGGTGGTATCCCTCTATCTCATCATACATAACGATCGGGTCCTGAGTTCGATTCTTCCTATCTGTGATACATTCATGATAAACACCTGCGAACTGTTTGGGAGCTTCAAGTGATCCCTGCAATCCGCCGTCGCGAAGTAAAAACGCCTCCTCGTTATCCTCCAGTGGAATAAGCTTCACCAGCCGTTGATGTGCCAGTGCCAAGAGGTCTTCACGCACGTACTAGTTGTTGGCTGATGTGTAGGAGGTCGCCCGCCCTTGGGCAAAGAAAAGCATTTGCAAGGTCATGCAGCTCATTGATGTGATGTTGCTTTTGACGTCGGAGTGACCAGCCCGTCCGTCGTTGTACCAAAATTGCTCCTTCTCGGCGTCGGTGTGCTAGGAATCCATGCCAGTGACTGGGTGTAGTATTCGTCCAGGCCAGCTTGCGACCCCCCCATCCGTATAGTACCGTTTAAAAACTTTTCCGAATTGTGCCTGGGAGGCGAATAATTCGCTGGCTGGACATCTGCTTCTTCAGATTGCGTTTGTCCAGGGGGATGCCTTCGGTGATGCTGGATTTGGTTGGGAGCTGGTTGGCCCGAAGGCAGTGGATAAGGATCTCCATGAAGTGGGACTTGGCGCTGGTGTAGTGGGAAGCTGCGTCCAGTACGTTGTGTCGGCCGTATTGTGCTCGTGTCGCGTGTGAGTGTTGGTCGGGGCTGTAATCGAAAGTCGTCGGGGCTGGTGCTGGTGCGCGTGCAGGTTGGGGGCGAGGTCCAGTGCTGGTGGGCGTTCGTCGGGCGCGGGGGGGCCATCGCCATCTTAGTCGTCGAATGGGTCGATGTCGGGCCGGTCCATGGTTGCAAGTGCCCCCTGTGGTGCGCGATGTTCGGCGCCGTTCTGTTGCGGTGGTGTGGTTGAAGCAGGGATGAATTGGATGGTGGTAGATGTGTTCGTCGTCGGCGTCGGAGTGGGTGCCGTCGTAGGCTCAGTTGGTGCTGTGGCGTAGTAGCCCAGCCCCCCCTGCGCAGTGAGGGTCTTTGCCAGGTGCGTCGGGTCGAGAGCCAGAGCCACTTCCACTGATGCGCTCCACTTAGTAGTGCTCCGTCTTTTTTTGGCCGCCGCAGTCGAAGTAGAAGTTGTTTGGAATAAAGTGTCAGCCGTGACCCCCATTGTCGCGGTACGCATGCGCAAGAAACCGTCATCTTGAATAGAAAGAAATTGTTCCAGTTCTGCTCTTACATCAATATAGTGTGCTCCCATACCCCCCATCGCTGCCTTGGCGTTCGACATGGGCTCGTAGTTCAGCGAGGGAGGGCCTATAGCTGGGGGGATGGCAGTAAATGCAGTTCTTCGCTCCCATGGCCTTGCCAGCGAGGAGCCGCGCGATGCGATGTGCGTCTGCCGCGTGCCCCGGTCGTCGGGCCTCCGCCAACTCCCGGGAGAAATGCTTGCGGTAGGTCGCGCAACCTTACCGTGCAGCACTTCGGATGTGGTGCGTGGCCTCATTGATCTCGCTCTTGAGGTTGTTCAGGTAGACTTCGTACTGATCCAGAACTTCCCCGTAGACCTGCCACAGGTGGGCGAGTTAGTCGCGTAGTTGTCGGCGAGCTCGTAATTCATCGAGGCGTGTGCGGCGCCAGTGGGTGACCTCATCGTGTTCTTGTCTGGCTCCGTGAACTAACTCCGAAATGGGCTTGGGCCGTGTCCAACAAGGTCTGCGCCCACAGGTCGTAGTCAAAATCGGGGTGCGGCAGGTCGGCATAATTGGACAGCTGGTCGGTGATATATTTCATCCGCGTGTCGAGCTCTCGGTGGAATCCGAGTCGGTCTTCGCCGTGTTGTAGTGCTCGAGCCAACTTTGTATAGTTCCATCTGGGTCGCAGGTGACGGTGGGCGATCGTCGGCATCTCGTAGTCGATCGTGAAAAACAAAAGGGAGGTGGCCCCTGGGCTGGGCGTCGGGAATGAGTTGGAGCTTACGCCCGCGTTTCCAGGCCACGATGCACGTCTTTATTCCCTCCAATAGGGCTGATGAGATAGGGCCAATGTCTATTGTGCCCGTTTCCTTTCTAGGTCCGTAATACGTGGGCCCTGCGCCCGGGTAATATGTGTTCACGCAAGCCATATCCAGGGACTCCATGGCGTTGTGCATCAGATTGCCTGCGATGCCACCCCGGTTGATGTGGTAGGCTCCGAAGTGCTGTTCGTCCGGGTCGATTCGGGTCTCCTCAGTCATCCTTTGGCCGAACCCCGAATTGATACCGAAGCCTGCGATAGGCGTTCATCGGGCAGGTGCCCCGCTCGCCAATCTGCTGCGGATGTGCTGCATGGCCCGCCCAATGCTGCGCTGCTGTGCTCGCTTGGCCAAGCCCGTCTCATAGAGCGGCGGTGTGTGTGTGTGTGGGGGGTGGGGGGGGGCAGCCCGTGACCGCCAAGATGTCAAAGCCGCCTGACTTGATCCGAATGTCGCATGTCCTGCCCTCCAGTGCTCTCGGCGCTGGTGTATTTGAGGTAGTATGGTTCCGTCTCAGTCGTCTTCCTAGAACTATGCATGACCCCGCACAGTTGGCCACGTTAGGGGGGCGCCGCCATCCAAAATGAACTGCCGTACGTCTGTTCGGTAAATTCTGAACATGACATTGTCTGTCTGGCCATTCTCTGACTCGTGTGCCGTTGAGAAGGAGTACGTCCACGTCCAACGCACTCGCCGTCGCCTCTAAGCGTGAGCTCTGGATAAGAGGCAAAGGGTTGTAGACCGCCACGCGTAAGAGAAAACGCATGAGTGTTATCCCCTCACGGGACCTTGGTCCACACATCAGATGGTGGGTGAGGGGTCCATGGGAAGGCGCGAAGAACGCGGGGCCTTCTGCTCGCTGCCTGCTGCGAAACCTGAGCCGAGGTGGCAGCTGTTGTTGATATTGTTGTTGATATTGTTGTTGTTGTTTGTTGTTGTTGGCGTTGTTGTTGTTTACGGCTTCTATCGACCACAGGGGAAAGCAAGCCAGTCGGCGCCGTTGAATCGGACAGGGGTCCCTTTGCACAGCTGCCCATAGCAGCCCCCCCGTCCTCGACGCTCAGCGGGGGCGCAGACTGGGAAGGGGGGGGGGGGGGGGGGCGCGCGGGTTGGGCGGGTGGTGGTGGTGCGGGGGGGGAGGAGGGGGGGGGGGGGGGGGGGGGGGGGGGCGGGGGGGTTGGAAAACCTTCCCCTCGACGACGCAACGCGTGGCACGCCCGCTCCAGGACCTGCCCTTGGCACGCGGGTGCGCCGTCGAACGGACACGCTGCTCGGCGGACACGCCTGCTCGCGGGCACGCCTGCTCGCGGATACGCCTGCTCGCGGGCGCCTGCGAGCGCGCGCTTATTCGTTGGGGAGGCGCGAGCAGTGCGCGGCTTCAGGTGCGAATGAATGCGTGCCCGTCTCTCGGTTCCCCCCTTTCTGACTCTCTCTCTCTCTCTCTCTCTCTCTCTCTCTCTCTCTCTAGGTCGCTTGGTACCGCCCATCTCTCGCTCCTCTCTCTCTTCTCTCTCTCTCTCTTTCTTCTCCCCTCTTTGTTTCTCCTCTCTCTCTCTCTTCTCTCCTCTCTTCTGGTCGGCGCGTGTGCTCCTCCGCGGGGCTCCCTCTATTCAACTGCACCTTGTCGGTCTCT